GACTTTTTAAAATTTATTGAAACTTCCTGATTTTTAAAAAACAAAAAGATCAACCCTAAATATTCATTGGAAAGACTGATGCTGAAGCTGAAGCTCCAATACCTCGACCACCTGATGCAAAGAGTTGACTCGATGGAAAAGACCCTGATGTTGAGAAAGATTGAGGGCAGGAGGAGAAGGGGACGATGGAGGATGAGATGGTTGGATAACATCACCAACTCAATGGACGTGAGTTTGAGCAAACTCTGGGAGATGGTGAAGGACAGGGAAGCCTGGGGTGCTGCAGTTCATAGGGTCACAAAAAGTAGGACATGACATACTGAATTAACAACAACAATAAGATATTAAAAGATTAAGGACTTGCTAAATGGAGACTTTTCACAAGCAATCTAAAATTCAGGGACTTCCTTGGTGGTCCAGTGGGTAAGACTTTGAGTTCCCAGTGCAAGGGGACCTTGATTCGATCCCTGGTCAGGGAACTAGGTCTCACATCCTACAACTAAAGCTCTCTTGTGTCACAGTGAAGATAGAAGATCCCACGTGCTGCGACAAAGACCCAGCACAGCCCAATAAATAAACAAATGAATGTTTTTGAAAATTAATTTTAAAAATAAAATAAAATTCAGAACCTCTTATAGATGGACATGGTGCAAGCTCATTTGCTCCCTACTGTCATGAAGATGCATGGAACCCATATGTAAATATAAGAGCTCTGTACACCCACATGTACATTTGCAATGAGGACAGAGAGTGTGCTGAAGGCAGCCCAGAAGGATTGGGACAGAGCTCGGCTTTGTGCTCTGGGTTGCTAAATTCCAGTTTTGGAGAGATCTTCAAGGGAAAGAAAGGCTGATGCTTACTGTGTGTCCTCTGTATGTCAGATAACATCAGTTATCCCTAATTCTCATAGCAACTCTGCAAGGTCTGCAGTTTCAGAAGACTGTATAACCTGGATAGGTTACACAGCCAGTAAGCAACAGAAACAACTTAAATCCTTATCTGTCTGACCCCAAGGTTCAGTCTCTTTCCACTGGACCAGCAGCGGACAAACGACTGTCCATGGCCAGCTCCAGTTGACCACGTTTATTTTTATCCCACCTGTGAGTCAATAATAACTTTTACATTTTTAAACAGTCAAAAATAAATAAATAAAGAGGATATTTTGTGACATGCGAAAATGGTGTGAAATTCACATTTCAGTGTCCATGAATAAATTTGTACTGGAACCCAGCCACACCTGTTTATTTACATATTGTCTACGGCTGATTTTCTGCTATGCTTTAAGAGTTGAGTTGACTGGGCGGGAAATCATATAGCCGCCAGAGTGTACAATACTTATTACCTGGTCCTTTTCAGAAAAACACTTTCCCACCTCTACTCTAGACCATGTAGCCTTGAAGGTGACCGAGGCCTCTACTTCTATAGATGGGGAAACACAAGTCCGTAAAGATTGAATAGATTTGCACCAAATTAATAATATTGGGAGAGACACCGGGCTAGCAAGGGAGAAGCACTAGGTGGCCCCCAAGGCAGGTTGGGAAGGGAGGTCAGCGTTGCTCGGTCCACGCGTCTGGCCGTGATGGAGAAGGTGAGCCGGTGGGGTAGGGGAGCGGGGAAGCCAGCAGACGTGCGGGCCCTGGAGTTTACACTGGAAACGGAGTCCCATCTGGAGGAAATGACAAGGAGGCAGGGCACTCAGAGAAGACCGTCTCATCCACGGCCCGGACGCTGGGTCCAAGGACAGGGTCCAGGTGGATGGAGCCAGCAAGGAGGCCGGAATAAGTCACGAGCAGAAGCTTATCCTGCACCCAGTGAGACAGACAGCAAACGTAAGGAAAACATTAAAAAAAGAGTGCTCCTGGCAAGGAAGCCTTCCTGAAGTACCACCAAGTGAAAAGGGCTGACAAAACTATTTATATGGCCTGGTCTCCACTTTCTGAATATAGATTTGTACATGTTTACATAACTTAAATGATTTGAATTGATATATACCAATACACCAAGGTAAAATGGTAGTTATGACTGAATGCAATCATAGGTGTTTTTTGTTTCTTTGTATCTGGGTATTTTCTGATCTTTCTGCAGTAAACTTTTATTGCTTTTTTAGCAATAAATAAAGTCATTTTGTAGTATTGGTCTGGGAATAGCAGATCAATAGAACAGAATAGAAAACTGGAAAAGAGATTCAATAGATATAAGAATCAGATATGTGATAAATGTGGAATTTGGAATCAATGGGAGAAAGACGGGTAATTCAGTACATTGCATTAGTTCAATTGGCTAAAAGTTTGGAAGATAAAGTTAGGCTCTAAATACATATAGACGTGGTACAACTGAAGAATGTTTACAACATATTAGTGAGAAAAAAGTTTACAAAATATGATTTTTCAAAAGAAGCTACATATGTATATGCATGTGTATAAATCTTGTATGGATAGATGCTGGGAAAGATTGGGGGCAGGAGAAGAAGAGGGTGACAGAGGATGAGATGGTTGGATGGCCTCATCCATTCAATGGACATGAGTTTAAGCAAACTCCAGAAGATAGTGAAGGACAGGGAAGCCTGGCATGCTGCTATTCATGGAGTCACAGTCAGACACAACTGAGCAACTGAACAACATACATGAGTAGATAGATAGGTGATGGAGACAGATTTAAAATACAGATATCAGCTCAGTTCAGTAGTTCAGTCATGTCCGACCCTTTGTGACCCCATGGTCTGCAGCACGCCAGGCTTCCCTGTCCATCACCAACTCCCGGAGCTTACTCAAACTCATGTCCATTGAGTCGGTGATGCCAGATACATATACAGCTACATATACATACTAGAAACATAAAGAGAGATTCACATCAAACTTGTAACCATGGTTACTTCTACTGAGTGAGATAGAAAAGAGGATGCTTTCACACCCTACATAATTATACACATTATATTGTTTGAATTTTTGTCTTGAGAATGTAATATGTGCAAAACTATAAAAATAAAAATGAAAGTCCTATAATCTCTAAAATAAACAGATCCTAGAAGATTCTTCAGTATGTCACCATGGAAGTGACTACAATAGCCCTCGAAATCCGTTAGGTTGGTAAGGTTCAAGTTTGGCCTGAAGCTAGCTTATGGTACGGTGCCAGGATCAATTTCCTGATTTTGACAGTGAACCATATTATGTAAGATGCTGCCCCTGGGGGAATCTGGGTGATGGGTCCAGGGGAACCTCTATTTTTGTAACTTCTGGCTCATCTATAAACTATAATTAAAAGCTTTAAAATTTTTTAGGTTGAATTCTACGAATATGTCTATCCCGGACTGTTTTTGACCTACACAAGTGGCAATCTTGTATAGCTAACTATATAATTAAAGAAAAGGCTTAAGTTAGTCAATTGCGTGTGAACCTGTGTGGGGAATTTTGGTAACAGAAGTAGAGTGGTCTGCACCGGGATGAGGATTCAGTGGCTCCGTGGGGCAGGGGTGGCCCTGGGGCGTCCTGGGGGAACCAGTCCACTTTATTCCGACCCACCTCAATCAGGCAACAACTGCACCCTGATGCCCGGAAAGGTACACACCTCTCGACATGCAGCTTTCCACCCGGTTCCCCTCTCAATTTCCATCTCACGAAGCCATCAGTACAGGGCCACGCCACTCCCTCTGAGACAGGGCTCCCCAGTGGTCAGTTCAAGTCAAAGACGCAGCCAGGAGAGCGGGCCTCAGGGGGGCCCAGAACGAGAAGAGGAGCCTTGTGGCAACTGCTGCACAGAATCAAGGACCCCCGGGGCCCTGAGCCGCCAGGGAAGCCCAGAGAGAGGCTTAAAAAATAATCAAATGAATTAAAAATACAAACTGTAGTAAAACTGCAATATCTGGAACAACGGGAACACTACCAAGAGAGTAGAGAAAATCTGATGGCTCATCACTGAAATTAAATGATTTCAGGTAACACAAGGTGTCCTGACCTGGACGCCAAAACAAGTGGGCTTTAGAGCAGTCAGCTGGGGAAATGTGGGCGGCCACCCGCCGAGCTGCAGTTTTATGCTCCGTGAGCTGGAGGGGCTGCCCAGGCTGGACCGAGGGCCACTCCACTGGTGGCACCACACCCCGGACTATGGCCCACATCTCTCTGCGCCTGGACGTCTCCACTCGGCCTGTATCTCTCTGAGCTTCTAGGCCCCGTCTCTTGAACCCTAGATTTCCAACCTAGTCTTTTCCCTCTAACTACATGCTTTGAAATCTAACCTTCCCTCAAAACCCCTGACCCGCCTAGAGATCAGTAAGTCACCCCGTAATCTTTCCCGAAGGCCTGGTGGCTGGGCAGCCTATAATTTCCTCGCCTCGCATCGCCAGCCCCACAGAGCACAGGGCTGTTCTCGGCAGCACAATTGCTGGTATTTAGCAGACTCTGGACCTGCTCGTCTCAGCACATGGTTTTCCACAGTCACAGTCCACAGAGCACCGTCTGGACCTCTCACGCTGAAACCAAGTTTGGGCAGAGGTCCAGGTTCGCAGAGAGTCAGGACCAAAGTTTGGTGGCCCCACCCCAAAACCCAGCAAGGATACCCAGGGAGGGCGCCACACATTTGAAAATGGAAAAGGCACCAAAGCTTTAACCATTCACCTTCTTCACCCCCCACCCCGTCCCTCCCCACAACTGGCTCCTCTTTTCCGCTCCCAAATAGCATAAGAAGCCCTTTTCTTTCCACGGGGACAGTCTGAAGACGGTTAACTCAGATTGCTAGTTAGTGCTAACCACAGTGAGGGAAAATGTCAGATATTAATGCTGCTTTTTTTATATGGCAGGGTGAGCATTCGGGGATAAGAATAAACTCTTATTGACAGGGTCAAACACCACAATATGTACATATCACTAAAGTGTGTTTGCAAAATAGGCAATAATGGCTCTAAATAGACTGTCTCGGAATGACTAATAAATAATAAGCATCTTGCCTTCAAAATTAACAACGGGGAAGAAGCGTATTATTTAGAGCACTGCAGTGAGAAGTGGCTTTCACCGGGGGGCCGGGGCCGTGGCAGGATGGGCCCAGACCCCGTCCCTGTCCTCACGTTCCTTCCCACGCAGCGGGCCACGCGACGTGGTGACAAGAGCAAAGCTGCCCAAAGAGGTGACGTCGGAGAAGCTCAGAGGCCCGCCCTGGAGGGCACCTTCCTCTTCCTTGAGCCGCAGCGTGCCTTGTCCTCCACTGGCCGTCACTGGTCCAGGTTCACACGAGGTAAAGAAGGAAGTGCCCACAGAACCGTCCCATCCAAGGACGCTCAGTCTCCGGGGTTGGGGCGGACACACAGCCCTTGAATGCAAGAGCCCAGCACGTCAGTCCCTCTTCTCTGCGACCTGGGATGACACCAGAGCTCGTGGGACAGCCCGTTCCTGGGATGTCCTGGCTGACTCTCTGCAGCCCTTCAGGCTCTCACCACAGGGATGAAAGGAGATAAATAACAGACCTGTGTCAACGTAAAATGAGATTCCATGAGACGCCTGGTGCAGTAATACGAGTAAGAAAGGCTGTGTTCCTTTTATTTTTTGGCTATTTGTTGTTGCTGTTCAGTCACCAAGTCGAACCCAACTCTTTGTGACTCTGTGGACTGCAGCATACCAGGCCTCCCTGTCCTTCACTACCTCCCTGAGTTTGCTCAAGTTCGTGTCCCTTGGATCAGTGATGCCATCCAGCCATCTCACCCCCTGTTGCCCTCTTTTCCTTCTGCCTTCAATCTCTCCCAGCATCAGGATCTCCATGTTCCTTTTAAAATGATACTGTTATGATGCTAATAAAACCTATGAGGACTAGCTACTCTCAAAGTTAATAAGCACTGCCGTCTTTGCAGGACTGAACAGTTACCCCCTGACTGATACGAACACCAAACATATATGTTTATTCTTAGAGCTTGTCTGGTTTCCAGGTCCTTTTAATACAGCGGTCTGAACGGATGCTCAGTAAGGAAACCAGCAGAGAAACCCAAACTCAAGGAAGCCAGCAGCTTCCCCAGGGTCACCGAGGTAACGGACACTATGGCTGCACTTTCAGTGCTCCATTGCTCTGTCGACAAAACCACGGTGACTCTGAAAAGAAGCCAGCACGTCTGGGCAGACCAGTATCGGTCGGTGGTTGTCCACTGTGGACAAAGATTCATCAGGACAAGGACTGTTGCTGGGCTTGCTTGCAACATCACATGGAGAGTTCCCGAGGGTGGGGCTGAGTGCCCAGATTCCCCCCGACACAGCATGGACCTCAGACCAGTCATTCGAGTGGGAGACGCTCCATCTTCGCTTTATTCTCAGGGCTGCGGGAAGGCAGGTTAGTCCCAGATCCTGTGATATCCCAGAGCTCACATCCTCCCCCTGGCTGTCACCACCTCATGTAAATCCGCAAAAACCCCTGAGCCCTTTCCAGATTCTGATCCCACATCCCAAGCAGATGCAGTGATGAGGGGAAAGAAATCAGTCACGTAGCCAGATATTTTATTTGTTTGATACCAAGAGTAGGCACATGTGAAATTGCTCAGTTGAATGTATAAACTCAGTTTTTAATCCGAATATTTTTTCACTGGAAAGACAGCCATAGAGACACAAAAGAAGCCTTTCTGCTCCCCTGTTTCCTCGTGTTAAAATTAGAGCTATTTCTGGAAGGCATTTTGGCATTATCCATCAAGTGCTTTAAAAATGTTTACACCCTTTGGCCAAGTAATTCCCTTTCTAAGAAACATGAGCAGAAATTCAGACAAAGAGACACACATGGAGATACCGCCCCTTACAACTGGGAAGAGTTAGCCATAAATGTCCGTGTTCATCATTAAAAGAAAGTGTGAACAATGATGGCTTCTTGGCAATGGGTTTACCATAGAACTTTACTTTTTTCTTTGTCTCAGTATTTTTCAAAATTCTCTATAATGAGAAACGACCAAAATATCCATTGACAGGTGAATGGATAGACAAAATGGGGTAATACATACAGTAGAATATGGTTCATCCTTAGAAAGGAAGGAAATTCTGATACAGGCTACAATATGGATGAATCTTAAAGATACTAGGCAAAGTGAACTAAATCAGTCACAGAAAGATAAATGCGGTGTGATTCCACTTATATGAGGGCCCTTGAATAATTAAGTTCAAAGAGACTGAAAGGAGGGAGGTGGGTGCCAGAGGTTTGGGGGAGTGGATGGGGAGTTAGTGTTTCATGGGGACAGAGTTTCAGTTTGGGAAGAGGAGAAAGTTCTGGGGATGATGGTGGGGATGGTTGCACAAGAATGTGAAGAAGGGAGAGGCTCTTATTTAAGCAGAAAGAATGAAGTCGAATTATTTCCTTTTGATGATCGCTTTACATTTTGTACTCAGTATGAACCAAAGAGAGACAGCAAAGACAAAAAAGAAATTCCATATTTAAACTCAGGGTTAAAGTTACAAGAATAAGATACACTTGCCTTTTTAAAAAAAAATCTGTTTTGCATAATGACAAGAAAGGGAAAGTGAGGATCATGTCACATTACTGGGAGTTTTCCGGATGGCCGCACTTGTTCCCTGTGGGGAAGTGATGAGAACTGGCAAGACCACACCCCCCTTTCCAGTTCCACCATCACCACACGGAGGATTCGGCAGAGTCACCGCCGTGTTCACCCCCAGGCCTTCCTGAGTCAACCTCGGCCGAGAAGCTGCTGTTTGAAGGCCACCTGGAGGGCTTCCCTGGGGGGCCAGTGGGTGCGATTCAGGGGACGTGGGTTCAGTCCCCGGATATGGAACTCAGATTCCACACGCCTCGGGGCAACTAAACCCGAGCGCCCCAACAGGGAAGCCTTTGGGCGGCAGTGACGGCCCGGCACAGTCAAAAACAAAAAGCAATAACAAACAAAAAACAGCTGAAGCATGTGGCGACATGGTTCAGCCATGTTCAGCAGGTATAGACCAACAGGAAATTGAGGCATGATTCCACTCATGTGTATGTATTGACCAAGAATCAGGTATTGAGTACTCACTCTAATGTTAGTCCCTTAGTCAGGTCTGACTCTTTTGTGACCCTGTGGATCGCAGCCCCCCAGGTTCCTCTGTCTATGGAGTTCTCCAAGCAGGAATACTGGAGTGGGCAGGCATTCCCTTCTCCAGGGGATCTTCCTGACCCAGGGCTCGAACCCGGGTCTCCCACATTGCTGGCAGATTCTCATCACCTGACCCACCGGGGAAGCCCACTATACAGTCAGTGCAAATGTTTTATTGCGGCAAAATACGGACAACATGAAATTTACCTTCTTAACCATTTTCAAGGGCACAGTCCAGTGGCATTAAGTACATTCATACTGTTGGGCAGTCCTCACTGCCATCCACCTACAGGCCTTTTCATCTTCACCATTAAACTCTCCCTTCCTCCCACTCCCAGGCTTGTCTCTATGAATCTCACTGATTTAGAAACCTCATGTAAATAGAATCGCAGAGTATTGGTCCTTTTGTGATTGGCTTATTTACTTAGCATAATGTCCTCAAGGGTCATCCATGTGGTAGCAGGTGTGAGAATTTCCTTCCTTTTTAAGGCCAAATCATCTTCTACTGCATTTGTGTGGCACTATTTATCCATTTATCCATTGATGGACACTTGGACCGCTTCCACCTTTTGGCTGTTGGGAATAACGCTGCGATGAACTCAGGTATACAAACACTGGATGCAAATTTTAGTAACACTGAGCTGTTTGTGTTCAGGAAAATTAAGTAGGTGACTTCTGTCTCATTGGTGCCAAGCAATCACTCATTTCGTGGAATCAGAAAAGGGTAAAGCAGGAAGCTGTTATAAAACCATCACTTATATCTGTCCATAGATGAGGAAAGGGACATGAAGTGACTTAACTAGAATGGTTTGGGAAATGATCAGTTCCTACATGTAGGGAGGGGGGAACCCCTCTCCCAGGCAAAAACATCCACCCAAATTGTCATACCACATATCTCAAATTCCTGACACTGGAGATTTATTTACTTAGATGAAGGTACTGGTCCTTTTACCAGGAGTCTCCTAATAAAATAAAAATAGCTCTGAGGGAAAGTCATTATTGACCCATATGCCTTGTCCTGAAAGACTGGTTTTCCACAGAACAGCAGACTTAGAGTCAGGTTCTCAGGGAAGAGAGTCCTCCCTGCGGGAGAGTCAGTGCAGAAGGCGGGAGGCAGGGTCACGAGGGATTTTAAGCACCGATATTCCCCAAGGAGACAGTCATCTCCCGAGGAGCTCCAGGCACCCAGCACCAGTCAGCGCCAGTGCTGAGAGTGAAGACCCGGAAGTGGGACCTGAGACGAGGCCAGCTAAAGCCCAACTCGGGCAACAGGACAATTTTCTCTCTGACGAGCTTGTTCCTAAATATTATACTTCAAGCCGAAGTACAGGTCTTCCTTAGATGACTTGGGCGCCATGAGTAAGTTCTGGATAATAACAAAATATTTTGTTAGGTTTCCTCAGCTATATAAAGAAAGATTTTTTTTTTTCTTTCAAGAAAAACAGAAAATACTCACAAGGATCACCGACTGAGGGACTCATTTCCCTTCAGCAGGTTTCATCCTCTCCAGTGGTCTGACACGTTTCACGGTGGAGTTGAGGTAATTCTGTCAGTCAAAGGAGGTGTTTGCAGACCAGGAGAACTCCAGCATAACACAGCCCACGGGCACAAGCAGCTGAATACTCCTCAGGGCAGAAGGTGCTCTCCATAAACATAGTAACCATATTGGTTCCATAATAACAAGGTTGGGTTCTTAAGCGGGGAGTGTTATTTCTGCATCCAATGCCAAAGTCGTGAGGTGGTTCTAAGGGATCTCTGGAAGCACAAAGGGTTAGAAAAGAGGACTACGGGAGCCCGAGGAAAACCGACACCTACCAAAGAACTTGACAAGAAACACAAACAAGGTACAGAGATGTTTGCAATCCTCTTTCAGAGAACACCAGAAGCCCTTTTATTTGTTAAAATGACAGAAACAACTAATTGGGCAATAGGACACGTGAATGTACTGTTTTATATGCAGAAAATTCGAGAGGATATGGAAATCGAGTCATTAAAACAGAGCCAGGACATCCCCGGTGGTCGGTGGTCGGTGGTCGGGTGGTTAAGAATCCAGGCTTCCACAATAAGGGGTGTGGCTTCAACCCCTGGTCAGGGAAGTTCCGTATGACACGTGGTGCAGCCAAAAAAATTTTTTAGTAAAAGAGAGTCAGATACTAGTAATTAGGGACATTTGTACTCATTAGGTATATAGGTTCTGAAACTAGGAATCTACCACGCTCCGATGAAAATCCAGAAAATAGTGTTTCCACGTTCCTGCCATGGTGATGTGTATAGTGCCTGCTAAGTAAAGTCCACACTCACAAAGTCGATTCACATCACATTAGCCTCAGCAATAAAAATAAAACAGTAACATTAATCCAATTCCCGCAGTGGTAATGTTTGATTTGCTTCACTGGCAAGTTAATTGAGTCCCCATCTGCTTTATTTGCTCACATTTCCCAGGAGGCCAAGCTCACGATGTGTCTTAAAGAGGTTCCCAGAGGCCTCCTTATCCGCCACGTCGTACAGCCTAAGAGGCACGCTGGATAGTTTTCAGCCAACCCCGCACTGACAGAGTCAGAGAACAATCCTTCCTTCGGGTCCTATAGCAGTGTTGATGGCCACTGAGGGCCGAGATACGATTGCCAGAGATGTTAGTAAAAGCACTAGAAGGCTGGGCTTTTTACTTTTCCATTAAAAAATTTTATATACAAAACAGACTCCTATGTGCTTTCTTGTTATAAAACACTAAATAAAAGAAAGCACAGAGCACTTCTCTTATCAGTGTGGTATAGATTCTTCTAGCATCTTTTCTAAGCATCTCTACACCTCTCCTATACTGTTCTACAATGAATGTGTTCTGTTTAACAGGAATGACTCAGATCCTAGGTCTGCCGTAAATTCCCTGTAAGCTTTGGAGCAAAAATGTGAGATAGGGGTTTGGCCCCCACAGCATCTCTTCGTCCTGGTCTCTCAGTCTAGCCCCTCTCGTTTGAGCTAAAAGTCATATCAAAGTAAAGGAACTGTCTGTCTCTACAAACTTGCTCCACGAGGGGTGGGCTCTGGCCAGACCAGAAGCCAGGCTGGAGAGCAGAGGTCCCGTGAAGGTGGCAGGCGAGAGAAATCGTGTCCAGGAAGCCAGCGGGGGACGGTCCTGACCGCCCTGAGGAGCCGAGGGCTCAGGACCAACAGACCGATGGGGATGGGACGTGATGTGCGGGCTGGCCTCAAGATGTGTGTTCCAGAAGGGGGTGCACTGAAAGGAGGCCATGGGAGGTGAGGGCACAGTGAGCAGTGAGAAAGCAGAAAAGTGAGAGCGGAATAGGGCAGCCTTGAGAGGAACTTCTGGGCTCCTTCTGGGGGCGTGAGAGCGGCAAGGGGGCCCTGGTGACCCACAATGGGCAGAAGGTAGTACTATGACAGAAATAGGCTTGGTGGGTCCAGATGGGACAAACATACTTCATGGAAAAGACAACGGTCGACTTTTCCTCCTGCTGACTATGGTGGGTCCGTGAAGGAGAAAGGTGTCTAGGTGAGAAAGTCAGCTACTGAAAGCCCCCTAGGTAGGCCCCACCCCACCTTCCTTTGGGTCACACTTGTTTAACGCCCCACTAGGCTCTGTGCCCCCTAAGGGAAGCCCATTGGTCTTTGTCACCCTGTAGCACTTCCCAGGGTATTCAAAAGCTATCAGGTTTGGGAAAACAGTCAGCTCCAGCTTTCGTAGCCAACCCAGAATTCCAGCTACAGCAGGGACCAGATCAGCAGAGGCGCTGAGGTCAGCCCAGGCTCCCTGAAGTCTACCTGTTCAGGGAAGGCAAGGCTGCTGAGAGAAGCATCTAGAATGGTCAGAGAGGTGGGCTCTGTCCAAGATGCCCTGGAAGGAGGGAGGAACAAATGAGGAAAGATGGAGCAAAGCTATGTATCCGAGCCCAAGACAGGAAATTCTGGGCCATCTTCATGGAGAACGTTCATAAAACTATGCGTGCACGCATGCCAGGTTGTTTCGGCAGTGTCCGACTCCCGACTCTTTTCGATCTTGTGAACTGTGGCCCACCAGGCTCCTCTGTCCATGGGGATTCTCCAGGCAAGAGAACTGGAATGGGTTGCCATGCTCTTCTCCAAGGGATCTTCCCAACCCAGGGATCGAACCCACATTTCTTACATCTCCTGCATCGGGCAGGCGGGTTCTTTATCACTAGGGCCACCTGGGAAGCCCTGTACAAAGGTAAATGGAACTTAGGCCTCAGGGAGGAAGGAACAGGGGAACAAAATCCCTGTAACTTAGCAGTATTAAAAGCCACATAAAAACATCTGGAGATACCAAGACTCCTTTTTGGCATGGGAGCAAATATGAAAACCAGTGGATTAAATTAAGATCTCACTTGGCATGATGCTTCTGGAAGAAGCTTCAACGAGTGTCCCTGGAAGGAGCTGGGCTCGAGGTCGACCAGGTGGCCCATCTGATCATCTGGCTGATTCGTGGGCTGAGAACAGTGAGGGCATTCATTTCAACCAAGGTCAGAGACAACAGAAGTCAAGAACAAAGATGGACCGAAGGCTTTTGTCCAGGAAAAGCAGATTCTGCCAGGGATGGGGGCTGGCGCCTCTGCCCAATCTGCCCCCAAAACAACAGGAATACAAGTTTCTCAAAAAGTGGACAAACAGGGATGCCCCTTGTGGTCCAGTAGGTAGGACTCGAGGCTTCCACTGCAGGGGGCATGGTTTCTATCCCTGGTTGGGGAACTAAGATCCTGCATGCCATGGGGTGAGGTCCCAAAAAAAAAAAAAAACACAGACAAATACACAGAATGATGGATGGGAGGGGCATTATTGGATGTGTTTTCAATGTAAAATGACGACCATAAAGTCACCTGTGCCGACAACGCTTTTGGAGGTGCCTTGAGGGGTCCTCCACGCGAAGGTCCTCTGTGGGGTGGCGGCACACGGAGGCCATGGGGCCAAGTCTGGGGGACCCCCGTCCCTCCAGGCAGGCCAGCAGAAGCCCCCTGGGAGGGCCTTGCGGGGCTCAGGGTCAACCTGTCTCCGGGCTGCTGTGGCCTGTAGACGACACTAGACACATAATAAATCTCTCTCATTCTATCCTTTTTCTCTCTCAAGGCTGCAGTCTGCCACCCATTTTTTCCGCCTGCTGTTGTCACGGCCAGATTCACAATCTGAATTCCTTCCAGCTTTCTGAGGCGAGGCCTGTGGCTCTCATCTTGAACAAGGAAGTGTGACTTGGCATCAGACTTTTTTTTGAGGAGTTGGAGCTAAGAATTGGTGGAGGAGGGGTGAGGAGAAGGGCTCCGCAAGTTCAGAAATGAGAAGGACAGTGGAAGGAGAAGCACAAAGGGACATTCATTTACCTGGATTTCCTCTTCTTCATTTCCTCTTTCCACGCACTCTGCTTCATCATATTTCCTCTTAGCAGTAAGAACCAAATATCTCCCAGCTCATGCTATTTAACTAATTTCACCACCTCAATCTTAGCCCCACGCTTATAAAATGGTAATAAGAATAATGCCTAAGGGTAGCATTTAAAAAAAAAAAAAGCTAAATGTTAGTGATACTAACTCTGAAATAGTGTTTGGCACTTAAACGCCAAGCATTTGATTTTTCAAGTTTTCATGATTACTTCACCAAAATCGGGTGGCATAAACACTGCTTTTGCGTAAAACGGTTTTTGGTGTTTCTTCTTTAAATTCCTTTTTAATTGGAGGATAATTGGTTTGCAATGTTGTGTTGGTTTCTGCCACGCAACATGAATCAGCCCCAAGTACACATATATTCCCTCCAACCTGAACCTCCCTCCCACCCCTTCATCCCACAGCCCCTCTAAGTTGTCACGGAGCACCAGATTGAGCTCCCTGTTGTCTAAAACGGTTTTGCAGACAATGATTGTTAAGCAATTGCATTGTTATATTTCATGCCATTCAATTTCACTGAAAAGCAGATTGATAAAAATCAGCCTGGCCAGTTTCTGGACACTATCCTCCCTGCCATGGGACAGGACTCCAGGGCAGTCTGTACCTTTTGACCCATCCCACCCAGAGGCCCTCCAGCTACCTGCCTCCCCCAGGAAGATTCCCTGGGAGAGACACACAGGGAAATGATATGCCCAGGGTACAGGAGGGGCCTTTGCTTTGGGAGAATAGCTGTGGAGCCTTGGGGAACAGCATGCAGTCCTGGAGTCATGAGGAGAAAGGACTTTTCCTTCTTTCAACATCCAACAAATACTGTGTGCAGGACAGACCATGCTGAGCAAGGAACACTGCCACAACTGGGAACACCATGAAGAGCCATCCTGGACCTCCAGGCTCCCTGGGCAGGGAGGTATCTGGCAGGAAGGCAGTTACAACCCAGTGTAGAAGCTACTGAACCCAAAAGAAGCCCAGACTCTACGTGAGCACATCAGAGCAGAGCCTACACCAGGCTAGGGTAGAGCAGGAATCAGGGAAGACTGCCTGGAGGAGGTGAACTTTGGCACCTCCATCCATTCAACTGAAATTGAGTACACTGCTCTGAGAGCTGAGATAGAGCAGAGGACCCAAGACTTGAGATCCTCCTCTCTACAAACTCACTTCCCTCTAGAGGGCAGCGGATTGTGCCAGAGTTACCTTGTGGCCAGAGAGGCCTGAGGAAGCTGAGGCCTGATGATAAGATGGAGGGAAAGGCTTCTCGGGCAGAGGAAATGGCCTGTAGCAGCAAGCATCGGGTGCTTCTGGGAATGCGAAGGAAAGCCCAGAATGCGGCAAGGTGCAGCATGAAGGGAACGAGGTCAAAGACAACCAGATCACACAAACCCCCACAGACGGTGGTCACAAATTTGGATTTTACCGCAGTCATCATGGAAAGTGAAGGTGACGCGATCAGATCTGTGTTTTAAAGTGACCATCTCAGCTGCCTGGTGAGGCAACGGCACAGAGAGAAAGAGCACTTGAAACAAGCAGTACATGCAAAGGCCCTGGCAGAGGCGGCTCCTGCAAGGGGGAGTGAGGCCTCCTGTGTGGCCAGGGGCAGAGCTGTGGGCTGGGGCCAGACCACCAAGGTTCCCATGGGCCACTGGAGGCCTGCAGGGAGGGCTGATGTCCCCAGACTGACTCAACTCATGCGATTAAGTCATGGATTCCCAAACAGCAAGGACTCTGCATGTGGAATAAATTCTGTCTTCAAAGACCGAAAATATACAATCTTTCAGAGTTACCAAAATTCATGAGTAGTTCTCACTTTCTTACACAGGAAACAAGAGTTTCCTCAATCTCTAGAGTTCACTGGGTAAAGAAGGGGAGTAACGACCCACTATGTAATTAATTTATTGTTGTTGCCATTATTTTATTGTTGTTTTCGTTCAACATTTACTTACTTGTTTGGCTGCGCTGGGTCTTAGTTGTGGCACCTAGGATCTTTGAGTTCCGGCCTGTGGGATCTAGTTCCCTGAACAGGAATTGAACCTCTGTCCCCTGCATTGGGAGTGCAGAGTCTTAGCCACTAGGCCACCAGCGAAGTCCCTGTTGTTGTTATTTTACTTGCATTTCACGCTGATCACTCGCTGCCACATGGGTGTCTTGGCCCCGTGAAGCCGGACTGCTCACGGTCTTCCCCAAGCCATCTCCTTCTGAAGTTCTCCGTGATAGCAGGACCCGCATTCACCCAGTGTGGATCACCCATCACTCTCAACTCTTCCCTGGTTAATTAAGGCCCTCGTGTGTCATTTCCTCGGTGTCCCTGGCATCTCTCCCCTCCTCAGCGTCTCCACGACCACTGTCCGAATTATAGCTCTCACTCATCTCCGCTGTGGCAGTTGACTGACTGCCAGTCTGCTCCTCCGCTGTATTTCTTTATTCTCTCTTTGGGCTCATTTCGGCTCCCAACCTCTGCCTTTAAGCTGAACCCATGCTGCTCAAAGTAAAAAGAGCCACTAGATTAGAATTTTCTCAACTTCCCAAAATATGAAGGCAATGAAAATGTGGAATTGAAGAAAGAGCAACAGGCAAAGCAAGGGTCTTCCCTATTATAAACCTTAGGGTAAAAGCTAAACAAGAATCATCTACTGGGTAGACGATTCCCACTTGACCTACTGAGCACTTGAAATGCGAGTGTTCTAAACTGAGGCCTACTGAGGACTGATGCTGAAGCTGAAGCTCCAATACTTCGGCCAACCTTACGTGAAGAGTCAACACGTTGGAAAAGACCCTGATGCTGGGAAAGATTGAGGGCAGGAGGAGAAGGAGCAGCAGAGAATGACATTGTTGGACGTGAGTTTGAGCAACTCTGGGAGAGAGTGAATGACAGGGACCTGGTGTGCTGCAGTCCATGGGTCAAAAAGAGTCGGACACGACTGAGCAACAGAAGCGTAAAATGTACCCTTGAAAGATTTTATACAAGAAAAAGGGATGTAAATAATTTTTGCATAGAGAGTACATTGAAATGCTAATACTCCGGATACTTGGGTTAAGTAATACATACTTTTAAAATTAATTTTATTTGTTTCATCTTCCCTGTTTTTAATGTGGCAAGAAGACAAATTTACATATTCAGCTTGTATTTTGACTACCATTATATTTCAATTAAACTGTGCTGGCCTGAAATAATTGGAGATCTGTGGCAATAAAACGTAAGGTTATTGTTAAGAATTATTCCTAAGAGAGCAATGGAAGGCAGCAAGAAAAGACAAAAAGCCCAATGGGAAAAAAACAGCAAAAGATCTGGACATACATTTCTCCAAACAAGATGCACAATAGCCAACACTTAATATCGTTACTTACCGGGGAAATGCAAATGAAAATCGATAAAACACCACTTCATACCCACCAGGATGGCCATATTTTTTTAAGGGGAAAATTGTAAGTGTTAGAAAGGATGTGAAGAAATAGGAACCCTGCCCGCTATTGGTGAAAACATGCAATGGTGCAGGCACTGTGGGAAACAGTTCAGCAGTTCCTTGAAATGCTACACAGGGAGTTATCGTGTGACCCAGCAGTTCTACTCCTAGAAAGATGAAAACATCTTCATAGAAAAGGTTGTGTAAGATAGATTCTCTGGAGGTCCAGTGGCTAGGACTCCATGCTTTGCTGCAGGAGGCACAGGTTCAATCCCTACTCAGGGAATTAGGATCCCACAGGTAGTGTGGCGCAGGCAAAAAAAAATTTTTTTAAGCTGAACAAGGATATTCACAGCAGTGTCATTCATTATAGCCAGTTAGTGGAAACAACCAAATACCCCTCAACTGTTGAATAGATAAACAAATCATGACATATCCAAACAATAGAATATTACATGGTTATAAATAAAAATGAAGCACCGAAGAATTGATGCTTTTGAACTGTGGTGTTGGAGAAGACTCTTGAGAGTCCCTTGGACTGCAAGGAAATCCAACCAGTCCATCCTAAAGGAGATCAGTCCTGGGTGTTCATTGGAAGGACTGATGTTGAAGCTGAAACTCCAGTACTTTGGCCACCTCATGTGAAGAGTTGACTCATCGGAAAAGACCCTGATGCTGGGAGGGATTGGGGGCAGGAGGAGAAGGGGACTACAGAGGATGAGACGGCTGGATGGCATCACCAACCTGATGGACATGGGTTTGGGTGGACTCTGGGAGTTGGTGATGGACAGGGAGGCCTGGCGTGCTGCGGTTCATGGGGTCACAGAGAGTCGGACACGACTGAGCGACTGAACTGAACTGAAGTAACTGAATATGCACTATAACATGGATGAACCTTGAAAACGTTATGTTCAGTGAAAGAAACTCCATAAAAGACCACAAAAGACCACAGATTTATGATACCTTTTATATGAAATGTCCAGAAAGGGCAAATCTAGAAACAAAAAATAGATCTGTGTTTGCCTAGGGCTGGAGGAGTTTGGGGGAAAATAGGGCTGACAGCTAATGGGTCCAGAGTTTCTTTGAGGGATGATGAAAATGTGTTCAGAATTGATTGTGGTGGATTCTAGAAC